TCCTTCCCCGCCACCGCTTTCCAAGGCGGCCTGATTCCTTTTTCTTACAGCTAGAGAACAGGGGGGAAAAAAAAGAACGAGGGAAGAAAGGCGCTGCATTGTTCTACCCCGCCTCCATTTATTTTCTATTTGCAATTTTTTTTATTGCAAGGAGGCTCGAAGAAGCCCTTGATTCTCCTCGCCAGATGAACCTCTCCTCGGCCAGCGATACATCTTGACTCCGGATTTCTCAGGGGAAAAAAAGGTTAGCCATGGCGTCGATTCCTCCCCTCCCCGTCCCCTCCCCCGAAGTACCCCCATGACACCTCCCGTCTTTTGCTTTTCCTTTCCTCCCACTTCGCCTCCTTTCCCACCGCGTCCGACGGGACTGATCGGTAGACGCCCCAACCGTGCGGCGCCGCGGTCTCGCTGGAGCTCGCAGGGCTGCGAGATCACGTGGAGGGTCTCGGTGGAGTTCGGTGTTTGCGGGCTGCGCTGGGGGCGGGAGAGGCGAGGGATCCGCTCGCGCGCGCCTTGCCTTGCCTTCCCCCCAATTTCATAAATTCGACTTCTCTGGTCTGTCCAACTTCCCAGGTAACATTGTTCTCATCCGCTCTATCGCTGTTATTGTTAGCGTTCTTATTTTATGCTCGCTTTCCTCTTGATCTTCATCTCACGCCGCCTTTGGCTCGTGCGGAGCCCCCATATTCCTCCCTTCCAGAGAGGGGTGTGTTTCTTTCTTTCCTCGGTGCGGCGAATCAGCGTTGTTTCTCCCCTCGCGTCTCTGGCCTTCATTGGCTGCCGGTTGCTGGAAATGGGGGTGGGGAAGGGAATCGGAGCCAGGCATTCAGGTGTACTTGTGCCCTGTTGATCTTTAATACCTTTTGTTTTTAAAGTCAGCTTGAACTTCTCCCCCCATCCTTTGAGAATTGAAACCCTAAGCCTTTCTCCCCCTCCCCCCCACTCCTGTCCAATGTACATTTCCCTTGCCTTGCCTCTAGACCTCGAGGTTTAGGAAGGGGTTGGAGTAGCCGAGGGGCGAATTGGGTTGGAGAGAGCGAGCGCCAGCTGTTTGGTTGCTTCCGCGAGTTTCTCCCAGTCTCCCAGAAAGTCGATCCCAGGGCAAATCGCGCATTGTTCCTGCAGCCGTCTCTCTCCGAGTGCCCCCACTTTCTTTCCAAACATTCGAAAGGTGCGGAGCTGTGCCGAAGCGGCGTTCAGTTTTCATTATAAAAAATACTCCTCTCCCGCGTATGATGCGAGGCCGTCTTGACTACTCAGTAGCTGAAACCGGAGCGAAGAGAATGCGTGCTGATACTGAAAAAGTCTCGGTTTAAAGAGTTCTGCGGTTTCGAGGGGTACTTTTCTAGATGTAAGCTATCCAGATTGCTTTTCGTCCAGCCGAAGAAAAGAGAGGTTATGGGCCACCTCGTTGGGTGGGATAGCTATGTATGGATCTTCTTGTGTTTGGATACTCAGGCAGGTGTGAGCGGGTGGCCTCCCTCACCGCAGGGTTTGGTGGCATTGAAGCGGATTCCTCGTTTTCCGTAGCAGAGAGACTGGGAAGCGGAGGTTGGCTGCCACGCCCAAATTCCAGGCTCTTTGGTGGTCGCGATGGGCAGCCGCGATCTGTCCCAGGGCTTCCATCTCCATTCTCGATTAATCATCCGCTTTTGGAAAGACACACGGTTTTTCTAAGGTTGAATGGTTTTGGTTGGACGTTTGCATACTTTTGATGGATAGCTGTAGTTAATTTCTGAGAAATTCTGTGGACCCTCTAAATAGCATAATGGTCTTCCTCATAATAGAGCTTTGATATAACTGACAGCCCTGGAAGGTTCTTTTGGTTGTAGAGTCCTTAAAGGAAAAGCTACTTACTTGTATACAGCAGGAACCCTGAGATTAATTAAATAAGATTAGATTAGCTAACATTAAGATAATTTAAGATTGCTTATTTACATGTAATTCCCTATTGAATTCAGTGGCACTTTCTTTCCAATAAGATTGCAACCTTAAATTGTAATCCTAGGGACACTTGTGAGAAAAATTCTATTGTACTTAATACTTCCAATTATACATAGGCATAGGATTATTTTTTAATGATTTGCTCCAGTGATGCAGGAGCCAGGGTCTATTCATGATCATGAAGGTTCTGATTTTTGTAGATTTATGGAAGGAAAAGAGGACAGGAAAAGTGCCAGCTCCTGTTGTTCACTGTCCACTGAAACAGAAAACTGCTGACTCTTCTGCTTCAGACCCGGTTCCATATAAAGCAGAGATACGTTTGGAAATCTTGCTTTGATATGTGAGTTGACGAATGCAATACCACCAAGATGAGTTGTAGTAGATTAGTCACTATGTAACAGGAGAACAGCTTTGGAGGGTTGTGCTGTAGGAAGTTGCTTAGAAGAAAGAAAATGGTAAGTTGATTAGCAAATGGCAATTCATGCCTTCCTCCCTTCCTGTTGCCTTTTGCCACTTGAAGCACCAGAGGCTCCATCTTGTATCTATGAGCTGATTGAACTCTAGGTGATCTGCATGTATTTTCTTGAAGAGACCCAAACCTCTGAGCCCTCAGACAGAAATTAGATGACTTTTCTGCAGCATGTGCCTGTGAATGCATTCTCAACTGTTTCTTCTGTAAATGTTTTTATTTGTTATGGATGATGTGCAAGATGTTTCTTAAAAAGACCTCTTATCGATGCAGTTTGTGCTATTGAGAAAAGACTGAATATGAATTAAACCTACTAGAGATCAGCAAAGGAATTAAATCACTGACATTTGCTATCATGAAAAGCGACCATGTGGAAAATGACTATGAATTTTGGATTTTGTGTTTTAGAAAGCCTGGAGGTTATGTAAATAGAGTGAAGGAAAATGTTAAATCTGGGTATGTGTGCATGTATGTGTACATGTGTGTGCAGGAAAATCAGCGGTGGGTATTATTGCTGAACTGAAGTACTTCTTTCCTTGATTCAGTGTAATTCAAGGCCTGCTGATTTTCAGAAGTCTCGCTTGCATAAATTGTTAAAGAATATTGAGTGGGTCCTTGCATTTTTTTTTCTTGTTGGTTTCTTCAATATAATTGTATGTCAGAATGTGGATTCTGGTGATAGTTCTGTAGATTATGTTTGATGAACATAAGCAGTATGCCCTGAACTTCCTCCTTTAACATTTATGTTTATAATGCATTTTTTAAAATATAATATAGTTTGAAGCAGAGGTTTCAAACAAACATTTTCCTTGCTGTATAATTTCTAAGTGTTCAACCAGACTTATAGTAGGATATCATAGAAGATAAAAGGCAAACATGCTTTTTTTAATTACTTGGAGCCCATTTCTTTAATTAACTAGTTATCTTCCTTTTTTGCATTAAGCTCCATACTCTGTGTAGTTTTTCCAACTTATTTGTTTGCTGTAGGGAGTATGTTTAATCATGATCAAGGTTGGATTTTCAGTCCAGACGTCTTTGTGTATTTTAATGTAATGATATGGTTTCAGTTTTAATTCTGTAGTAGGAAGATAGAGATTTAAGTATTTGAGGTTATATAGCACTGACAACTTAAGAGGAAGTTTCCAAACCTGATTTGGAAAATGATCCCTGAGGCACTTTCCTGCAGGCAAGACAATATCATGAAACAATAGGATTGGGCAATTTGGTTACCTGTAAAAATAATATTTCAGGGAAACTCTTTCTATTGCATAGTTTTGATGTGTAGTGCAACCTTACACATAGTTACTAAAAAAATAAGTGGTGATGTTCAGTACAAGTGTGCATAGAATTCCAGCCTAAATTAGTAAAGGTGAGATCTCTCTCTGTCTTCCAGTTAGCCAGAAACATTGGGTTTCACCATCATTTATTTGTGAACTGCTACAATTTGCAATTTTATTATTGATCTGTTGTGGGCATTTGGGTGTGGTTTGATTGCCTTTGATCTACTTGCTGGCTTTGTCTTTGACTCTCATTTTCCTTTCATGTCCATGAACTCATTTTAAGACTAATGAAAAGCTTTTGTAGAAAAAAAAAAGAAGAGGAAACTGAATTGACAATTTGGTTAAAAGTTATGCATTCACTTTTAAATGATGCCCAATGTATCTTTGATGTTACTGTATATACTGATCACGTGGCATTTCCTTTTTTTTTTTGGTGACTTGCTTTTCTGAAAGCCAATAGTTATTGTCCCATGTTTTCTTTGCTTCAGATGGTGTAGTATTGCTCTGCAAGAAAGGATTTATTGTAACAGTGTTTGTAGCAGTGACTTTTTTGGTCTTCAGAAGAGTTAACGCTTAACAGCTTGAGTGAAGAAAAAAAATCTGGTTATAGTTTACATGTTCAGAAATAGACATCTTGCAGTTTCTTTCTACTTGCTGTTGGTAGTCTGGAGCCAGAGTGTGTGTGTGTTCATGCATCTCTCCTAGGTACATTGGTTCTAGGATGAGCTACGCTTCACTGACTGCTCCATTCTTAGCATAGTACTATTTGATAAAGACAGCCATTGGTGGTAGTTTTTCATAACACAGACCTGCCTTAGAAGAACCTTCCCCAGTCAGTAGGCACTGAGATGTCAGACTACAGCTTCTGCTCTCCTTAATGAACAGGTTTGTCGGCTGCACTGGGTGGAAATAATAGGAGCTGCAGTACAAAACATCTGGATTATTCTACCTGTCACTCCTAATTCTTCTACGGCAATGTGTTTGGGCAGCATACAAATATCTCTATTTTTAAAAGTCAATTTATAAACAACCCAGATTCTCAGGAATCTTCCCAATGCATACTTTTCTCTTTCCATTACAGAAAAGGCGTTTGTAGAGTTTCTGCATGTATGAAATTAACTCTGTCCCTGGTTGGCTTCACTGCTTTTGTTGTGAATGAAGAATAGGAGCTGCTGCAGTAAGCATTACTTGTGCTTTCTCTTCCCCAGAGATTTATCTTTCTGTGTAGTGTGTGTGCTTCCCTTGTGCCTTCTTTGTCAGTGGGACCATTGATGGCAGCAAAATATTTCTCAGCTCTGTCTGCAATTGCTGGGTTACATTTATTGCTTTAACAGCAAGTTTGGATAGTAATGGAGGCATTAAATCAGACATATTCTATAAATAGGGGTGAAACATTCACAATAATTACTGCTGCAGTGGGTACACATACATCTTGAGGAAGGGGTGGGTTGATGCTGGGTGCTCTGTAGGCTGCTCTGTATTGGTTTGTACAAATTGCTGGCTAATGAAGCCCTTGATTCTAAAAGGTGAAAAGTAGAGTATCTTCCTTTT